GATAGAGACTCAAGCCTAAAATCACATATAGGGAGCTAAATGAAGCCTTTTTCTTTAAGTAGTACTCTATATGACCATTAATATGACAAAAAGTTTAAAACATACATATATACTAATTTTATAAATTTTGAGATAATATTTATACCTTAAGAAAAGTTTTAAAGAGTCAAATGAAACCAAAGGGTGATGAGATTAGTGTCAATAGAACAGTCGCTTAATTTTCTTTTTTCTTCTGTTCCATACCAGGTGACTCTTCTGATATGAGACAAAGATTTTGGATTTTCCTTTAGCATGCATGCTTGGATTTAGAGAAGGAGAGAACCATGCTCCAACTCCAAAGCCATTTTTAATTTTTAATTGGACTGTACTACAAAAAGACCATTTGTCTTAAATGTAGAGATCAGCAGAAACAAACATTTTGAAGGTGTATGAAATTTTATCCGGTTGGAAATGTGATATACCAATAAGCCAATTTGCTCTTTTTCTTGGGACATTTTTTTTGAATGATTCATCCTTTTTCTTCAGATGGCTTACTTTTCCAGTGGTCTTCAAATTCTTTAGCTGGATGCCTTCATTCTCCTGGAAAGACAAAAAAAANAAAAAAAAAAAAAAAAAAAAAAAAAAAAAAAAAAAAAAAAAAAAAAGCATGATCCAACCCTAACTATGCAAAGTTTCCCCTTTTGGCAAATTATTTCTGATCAAATGGAAAGCATTTGTTAGCTGCATAAGTTAGTTTAAATTGAATGGTCTCTTCTGATCAAGAGCTCTCGCTTTTTCTTCTAAAGCTGTTCTGTCATCCAGAGAATTATGTTTTTTTACAGTAGGCATGAGGTCCTTTAATTGCTCCGGGGAGGAGTTTCCCCCACTGTGACAGGGAATGATAGAACCAAATCTGACACAGGGGCCTGTGACAGCCCCCTCACAAGGTGTTTCCCTATGGAAAAGGGTTACCCTGTCTGTTTCTTGTTGATCTGCATTCATTGGTCCAATGTTGACCTTTGACACACCTGCATACTCTAGAAGGGAGGGGCCTTCTGCTTGGGTTATTCCTATAGGAAATATTGTTTCTAGGTAATCCCTGTCTACAATCTCCTTTTGGGTGACCTTGTTTGCAAAAATTAAAACACCTGACTTTTTTTTTTCTTCAAGCCTCTGGAAATCAACTCTCCCATGCAAGCATCATCATGGTCATGAGATTCAATACTGACTTTATCTCAGATTCATTCCTCTATGGGTGCTGATCTTGCCTTTAAAGGTCTAATTATTCTTTTGCATTGTGAAGTAGAATTTTTAAAAGCCAAAGATTCAGTTATTATTTGTCTAACTTTTGAATTTGGTATTATTCTATTTACAGCTGAAGTCAATCTTTATTTAAAAAAAAATGAAGTTTTTTTTTCAGGCCCTGTATGGCTTTAGTAAATGATTAGGTTCTCTTTCCAACTTTTTCATTTCTGTCCCAAGCATTCAAAGCTGCTGCATGGCATGGTGTCAAGGTGTGGTCATCATATACAGACGGTCTTTGTACACCAGCATAACCACCCTCTCCAAGAAGTTGGTCTTGGGAGATTTCAATACCTCTAGCGCTACTTTGTTGTTCGGTGGTGCTAGCCTCATCTTTCCACCAGGATTTTTCACTTGCTTGGTTAAAGTTACCTACAATATTTTATATTATTTGAGGCTGTTGTGAAACATGTTGTTTTCCTGATTTATTTCTCAGTCCACTGGTTATTTGAATATAAGAGAGCTACTGATTATTTATTAATCTTGTTTCCAGCCACTTTGCTGATTGTGTTTATGAACTGTAGGAGTTTTCCAGTACAATTTTTAGGGTCACGTATATATATTATATTATCTGCAAGTAGAGATACTTTGACTTCTTCCTTTCCAATTTGTAGCCCCTTGATCTCCTTCGGGTGTCTTACTGCTCTGGCAAGGAATTAAAGTACTATATTGAGTAGATATGGGGAGAGTACATAGCCTTTATTGGTTCCTGATTTTAGTGGAATTTCTTTGTATCTCTTACCATTTAATTTGATGTTGGCTATTGGTTTCCTATAAAATGCCTTTATTATGTTTTGATATGTCCCTTGTATCATTAATCTTTCTTGGACTTTTATCATGAAGGCGTGTTGGTTTTCATCAAATCAACATCTAATGAGATGACCATGTATTTTGTTGTGTTTTGTTTCCATTTTGTTTATAGGGGTCATGTTTATTTTGTATATAGAATCATCTGTGTATATCTGGGATGAAGCCTGCTTGATCATGGTGGATGATCTTTTTGATGTTCTCAAGCTCAGTTTGCAAGTATTTTACTGAGTATTTTTGCATTCATGTATAAGTGAAATTGGTGTGTAATTCTCTTTGTTGGGTCTATATGAGGTTTGAGTATGAGCACAACAGTGGCATAATAAAATTAAGTGGGTAATATTCCTTCTATTTCTCTTTTGTGGAATAATTTGAGGAGCATTGGCATTAACTCTTCTTTGAATGTCTTGTAGAACTCTGCACTAAAACACTTTGGTCTGAAATTTTTTTGGGGAGGTGGGAAATTTTTAATGACTCCTATTTCATGAGGGATTATATTTAAATTGTTTATCTGATCTTGGTTTAACATTGGTAAGTAGTACCTATTGAGAAAAGTATCTGTAACTTGTATTTTCCATTGTGGTGGTGTACAGGTTTGTAAAGCTTGTCCTTATGAGTCTCTGGATTTTCTTGGTGTCTGTTGTTATGCCCCCTTTTCATTTCTTTCGTTTCTTTTCTATCTTTTTAAAAAAAGATTTATTTATTTATTATATATACAGTGTTCTGTCTGTATGTATGTTTGCAGGCCTGAAGAGGGTACCAGATCTCATTAGAGATGGTTGTGAGCCACCATGTGGTTCCTGGGAATTGAACTCAGGATTTCTGGAAGAGTAGTTAGTGCTCTTAACCTCTGAGCCATCTCTCCAGCCCCTCTTTTCTTTTCTTTTTGTTAATTCAGATATTCCATCTTTGCCTTTTAGTTACGTTGAATAAAGGTTTGTCTGTCTTGTTGATTGTTGGTGGTAGTGATGGCATGTGCATGTATGTGTGTGTATGCATGTGTGTGTTTCCCTTCTCTTGATTTTGCTGGTCTGAGATTACTTGTTTCCTGTGTTTTCATGGGTATAGTTAACCTCTATAGGTTGGAGTTGTACTTTTAGACTTTCTGTACTCTTAGATTTGGAAGTAAGTATTGGTTAAATTTAATTTTATAAAAAAAATCCTATTTTATCCATTCATGGTATTTGGAAGTTTTGCTGGGTATAATCTGTGATCTCTTAAAAGTTTACAGCACCTCTGCCCAGGGTCTTCTGACTTTTATTTCCATTGAGAAGTCAGTCTTCTTAATATGTCTGTCTTTTATATGTTACGTGGTGGTTTTCCCTTGCGGTAAAAAACAATGACTTCGCGAATTTTGCATGCAAATGGACGGAAATAGAAAACACTATCCTGAGTGAGGTATCCCAGACCCAAAAAGATGAACATGGGATGTACTCACTCATAATTGGTTTCTAGCCATAAATAAAGGACATTGCGCATATAATATGTGATCCTAGAGAAGCTAAATAAGAAGGTGAACCCAAAGGAAAACATATAGTCATCCGCCTGGATATGGGAAGTAGACAAGATTGCCGGGCAAAAACTGGGAACTTGGGTGAGGTGGCATGGGGCCAAGGGGAAATGGGGTGAGAAATGTGAGAAGGGGAGATTGGGGGGAGCTTGGGGGAATGGGATGGTTGGGATAAAGGAAGGGTGGACACGGGAACAGAGAAATATATATCCTAATTTAGGGAGCCATCTTAGGGTTGGCAAGAGACTTGACTCTAGAGGGGCTCGCAGGTGTCCAGGGAGATGTCGCCAGCTAGTACCTTGAGCAACTGAGCAGAGGGAATCTGAAATGACCCTATCCTATAGCCATACTGATGAATATCTTACATACCACCTTAGAACCTTCATCTGGCGATGGATCGAGATAGAGACAGAGACCCATTTGGAGCACTGGACTAAGCTCTTAAGACCCAAATGAGGAGCAGAAGGAGGGAGAATATGAGCAAGGAAGTCAGGTCCACGAGAAGTGTACCCACCCGCTGTGACAGTGGATCTGATCTATTAGGAGCTCATCAAGGCCAGCGGGACTGGGACTGAATAAGCATGGGATGAAACCAGAATCCCTGAACGTGGTGGACAATGAAGGCTGATGAGAAGCCAAGGACAATGGCACTAGGTTTCAATCCTAATACATGAACTGGCTTTGTGGGAGCTTAGCCTGTTTGGATGCTCACCTTCCTGGTCCTGGATAGAAGTGAGAGGACCTTGGACTTCCCGCAGGGCAGGGAACCTGGACTGCTCATCATTCTTGAGAGGGAGGGGGAATGGAGTGGGGGGGAGAGGGGTAGGGCAGTGGGGGGAGGGGGAGATGTGTGGGAGGAGGGGAGGGAAATGGGAAACGGGGAGGAGGCGGTAATTTTTCAAAATAAATAAATAAATAAGATATATACATCTAACAGGTTTTTTAAAGTAAAATATTATTTATCTGATATATATATATAAAACACTTGGCTCAAGCTTGACAGGGAAAAATGTTTGAATAAATGTGATATAAGGCTCTATTTGTTAACTGGCATTCTGACATATTTATTTGAAAACAATCAATTATTTTGAAGAAACAGACTATTTGGGGACATATTTTTAACATAATTATTACTTATGGAACCCTGAAATAAAAGGGGTAAGTTATTTTATCAGTCTTTCCATTTTAGGAAAGGCAGAGACTAAAGAATCCTTTCCAAGATGAGAGCCTTGCTCATGATAATGAAGATGTGCCCTGGTATAGAAGGTATTCTTTCTAGGGAGAAGCAAGGACATTTTAAATTTATAAACTCAGGGCTGAGAGGATGACCAACCACATACCATATTGAGTGATGTTCCACCTAACTTTTACTAAATAGGCTTAAATTACACTAGAAAAGAAATATAGGTCAATTTGGCATATTTAATTAAAATAGCAGTTAATTATAAACCAAGTTGTACAATGAAAAATATAAAATTACAAGAACATGCATATAATACATATATGAATGAGTATTAGGAAGGTCATCTTAAAGACAAAGATATATCAATTTTCACTTTTAGATTAGATCTTAGATCACATTTTACTAGCATTAACAATCCTTAATCTGAACCTTGTCCTTTTAAAGATATGACTGTAATCTAAGGAGAAAACCTTGGATGTCAAAGACATAAAGCTTAAACTTTTGGGAAGACTTTAAGGAGGCTGAACAGACATCATCTTGGTACTTTAATTTTTTTTTTTCGTTAAATTGGACACAGTCAAACTTAGGAAAATGTATTATTAAAAAGGAGAGCTCACGTAGACAGGTCATCAACCATATTTTCTACTGTTATAAGTTAAGTTAAATCTTATAATTGATATGATAAGGTATCTTATAACTATGAGATATTAATTATTACTATTTTAGTACTCAACAGAATAGACAATTTTATTTGTATAGAATAAGCATATTTAGATTTTAAATGTGACTCTTGGTTGGTGTTGTATGTCCTATCAACCTCATAAAGAAAATGGTATTTTATAGAGAAAGAACAAAGTTGGCCTCCACGAGCACAAGACATGCACGAGGCACAAATATGCAGGTCAAACATCCATATACATGAAAAATAAAATTAAAAAATTTTATAAAAATATTTTTAAAAGTAATACATAGCATTTCATCCAACATGAAATTACTGTGTATATTATCCAGTTATACCAAAATGATATAAATTTGACTTATTAGTTACTTATAAGAATTGCCATAAATGAAAGAAAATTAAAAATTTCTCAACATAAATTACTGTTGAAACTTCTGTAACAGTGTTAACTCATATCTCAATGAAAACCAGTTTTCAGGATCAAAGTTATATTTGCTTTATAGAAATAAGTAACATTTTAAGATATTATAAAATAGTTAATAGCACCCTAAATATCACACCACAGGTGTCAATAGGTGCAAAGGTTGGAGACTAGGATCTCCTGCTTATCTGAGACCCGGTAAACTTAACAGTAACTGAGGCACTTTGAATATTACAAAGAGACTACAATGCAAATGAGTTATTGCACTGGTTGATTCCAGTTAAGTTGGCTATAACCAAGGCCCAAAGGCTTACTGAGAATCAGAACAGCAGGATATCCACTGAAACACAGATTTACTGTACTCATGCAGGTTCCCAGTCACAAAGTCCAGATCCACAAGGAACCTTTACCGCCAGGGTTTAAACTTGACTTTTTCTACGACAAAATGCAATTTGTTCTAGCAGATAGGTCATTAATACTTTATTGAATCTGGAATGACTGGGGAAAATGTAAACATGTGGCCACAATATTTGGAAACAGGGTAAACTAAGTTGGCTATGTAAGGTGAAATGGCTGTGAGGCAAAAGAACCCACTCCGGAGGTCTAGTGTTCCCTTCTTTAGCTCTATTGTATGGGGATACTATTATTAAATGACTGAAAACTAATCTACAAGTCTAGTATAATCATAAGGATTACTATTTAGATGTCATGGATAATTCTTTTAAACACTAATATCAATAAGTGGTTACTATTGATGATTTTAACATCAGTAAGAAGAGAGATAGTCCGTAGTCACTGCAACCCCTAAAGGACATCTTCTGACCTTATTTCTATCATGCTTACAATCTTCCTTAGTTGCATGACAACATTTTGTTCAGTGTACACCAGGGAATGGAATTGTCTGTCGGTCATCAATAGCACAACAGAGGGATTAATGTGCATGCATTCTTTGTGTTGAGACTTGGTATTACATTCAATTAACACATCCTTTCAATAAACAAGATCAAAAATTTATATAGCTTAATAAAAAAACTTTTAAGATCATGTCAACAAACTAGGTGAAAATATGAGGTGAGAAGAAACTGGTAAGAGGTGTGGGAAGTCCTTTTGTCTATGCGTTGCTTTTATTAGTTAGTGAATAAATTTGTTTTGGCCAGTGACTTAGCAGAATAGAGCTAGGCAGGAACTCTAAACTGAATGCTGGGAGAAAGAAGGCAAAGTCAGTAAGAAGCCATGTAGCCTTTGGGGACTGATGCTTACCTTGGAGTCCAGTAGGCCACGACCTTGTGGTGATGCACAGATTAATGGAGATGGGTTAGTTTGGGACCTAGGAGCTAGCTGGGAATATGCTTAAGCTATTGGCCAAACAATACTGCAATTAATACCGATTTCTCTGTGATCAATTTGGGAGTCTGAGCGTCTAGGAAATGAACAAGCAGTCTCTAGGCAACAGGAAGGAACTAAGAATGAGGAGGAACAGACACAACTTTTATTCATTGATTATATTACTGTAAAAATAGGAAGTATCCAAATCTGCATCCCCTTTCCTCAAAATGCAAGAGGAAAGAATGAAACAAGGCTGGAACTGTCTGCTTGCTCTAGAGAGATTATTTAAGAAATGGTATGGGGGGCTGGAGTGATGGCTCAGAGGTTAAGAGCACTGGCTGCTCTTCCAGAGGTCCTGAGTTCAATTCCCAGCAACTACATGGTGGCTCCAAACCATCTGAAGAGAGATCTGGCGCCCTCCTCTGGCGTGTGGGTATGAGACAGAAAGTTGTATACATAATAAATAAAAATCTTTAAAAAAAAAAAAGAAATGGTATGGGCTATAATTCTGTGAGTATAAAAATAAGTTTTAAGACTCAGGAATAATGCTGGCAGAAGTAGGTCCTTTAAAATCCATAATATCACTACCCTTATTCATTGGTTATATTTCTAGTATTGGCACAATTTCCTTCCTGTTGGACAGGCCTAAATATAAATTATACAGTAGCTGGTCACCAACAAGACAGGGACGACACTATTGTGCCTGTGTTGATATCTTGCCAGACTGATCACTGTTTGGGTTCATTGGGTTGTTATTTTCCGATTGTTATTTCCTATTTCATGACCAAAATAACTTAGGTTGTTTTTTTTTTTTTTTATTTTTTTGATACAGGGTTTCTCTGTAGTTTTTTGGTGGCTGTCCTGGAACTAGCTCTTGTAGACCAGGCTGGCCTCAAACTCACAGAGATCCGCCTGCCTCTGCCTCCTGAGTGCTGGGATTAAAGGTGTGCGCCACCACCGCCTGGCTCCAAAATAAGTTTGGAAAGAAAAATTTTTGGACACTCATGGTTCTAGAGAATAGAGCCCATAATGTGTGCCATTATCATCACAGGTAATATGGCACAGGTGAGCAAGCATAGCAATGGATACTAGCTAAAAAGATCTGAAAGCTGGAGCCAGAGAGAAAGAGCTACCTTGGAACAATGTCAGCACTGAAGCCTTAAAGCCATCCCAGTGACTAATGCCCTGCGACGAGGTGACATCTTCTAACCTTTCCCACCAGTTCCACTAACTGGTAAAAAACCATTCAAATATGGGGGCCTTTGGGAGCCATTCTCATGCAAACAGCAACAAAAGTCACAGTTGGGGAGGGCTATTGACCACTTCTCTCACTTGGCAAACTGAATTGCATCTATGACTATGACAGACTAATGAAAGTGATTTTGGTGTTAGATCCAGCTCAACCTTTCCCAGTCCTGAATCCCAAGTATGGAATGTGTCGGCAAATACAAGTTACCCTCAACCGCTCAAAGATGACCAAAGAAAAGAGTATTACTTAAATTGCTTGGGGAATTACATGGACCATCATGAACAATGCAAACAGAGATTTCTTATGCCTGGTACTGTTGTTTTTATTAATATAGGGTTCCTGGGGGAAGGGGCTGTCATGCCAAGTGATATAATTTCATTTAATATAGTGTGTGTGTTTGTGTATCCATGAGTATGTACATACTCTTGTATTGACACCTGCATTATACTTAAGTATAACATAACATTATTTATAATATTGTATAATTACACTATACAAGGTGTATATATATCACACTATACAAGACATAAACTTTTGCATATATACAAAATAACTACTTTTTTATTATTGTTTTATTTTTAGTTTTTCGATACAGGGTTTCTATGTAGCTTTGGAGCCTGTCCTGGAACAAGCTCTTGTAGACCAGACTGGCCTCGAACTCACAGAGATCCACCTGCCTCTGCCTCCCGAGTACTGGGATTAAAGGCGTGTGCCATGACTCCCTGGCTCCAAAATAACTACCTCTTAACCATTACCAAACAACATTGGCATTAGATCCTCATTCTTCTCCCATATTGGCTGTATTCATCTCATCCCTAATTAGACTCTCCTCCTCCACGGTTTTCAAGTTTTCCTCTTCCTGTCAATCACACCCAGCTACTCTCCTCTCTAGTCTCTCTCCCAATTACAATGGCATACTATTCAGGCTCACACACACAAAATCTTAAATCAGAAAATGGTTTGGTAAATGGAATCAACTACAAAACACGTGCTAAGTCAGACTCATAAAGATAAATCCTAGCTCCAAATCTTTAGATACGAGATAAACTGAAATGAACACAAAAACCATACCTTGCCTTAAGGAAAACATAATGCAAAGTAAATCTCCTGTATAGAAATGGGCCAATAATAAAAATGCTCAATATGTGAATGTACTTCTTTCAAGCTGTTTGTTTCTAAAGCCTTTAGACTAACTGCCAGAAAGTATTTCATTTATTGTTGACTTAAGATTTAAGTATATGACAAAGTTTCACAACTGTTATTTCATTTAAAATGACAATCAGATTTTTCAGTTTTGCAATGAAAATTTCTTACTGGATTTTTTTTCTTTTCTTTTCTTTGACTTTCTTTGGTTTTTTGAGACAGTTTTCTCCGCAGCTTTGGAACCTGTGCTAGAACTAGCGCTTGCAGACCAGGCTGAGCTAAAACTCACACAGATCCACCTGCCTCTGCCTCTCAAGTGCTAGGATTAAAGGCATGTGCTTGGATTTGGTTCCTTTTAAACCCCAAGGTGGATATCTGAATGTCCTTTTCTTAGCTGTGACAAATTCCAACTAGTAGAAAAACATTTAGAAGGAAGTGTTACAATGGGCTTGATGCTGCAGAGTGTGAGGATCTCTTCAGGAGGAGTAAAGGCCCGATGTCAGGACTCACATGATAGTATACAATCAGGAGGCAGAGGGAGTAGACTAGGAGTATCATGTCTTGAAATCTCAAACTTGCTGAGAGTGACAGATATTCACCCCAGGCCATACTGTCTAATTGTCCTCAAACTGTTCCACCAACGGGAACAAAGTTTCAAACTTATTAGCCTATTGGGCCATTCCCAAGCACACCACTACTATATCTGTTTTCAAAGCTACTGCCATAGCCACAGGTAAAAACAGAACCAAAAACCAAAAACAACAACGAAATACAGGTACTGTTCATAATGCAAGTAGTTTGCATGCTACATATAGCAAAATATTGGGCATTAATATTACACTTTTGCAGGTCTCACAATCTGTATCTTTCCACATTAAAACACTGTATTTGTCAGCTATGCCTCTACTGCTATGAACATGTCATTATTTCTTTACTCATTTGTATTTTTCTTTCTGTGTTCATTAGGAAGCCTGCATTTGATTCTCAGGAGACAACTTTCAGGAACTGGATCTCTATTTCCACCATGCAAGATCCAATGAGGGAACTGAGATAATCACATCTTCTGGCAAGAACCATTACTAGCTGAGGCATCTCATGTTCCAATCACATTCTTCTTCCATATCTCACAACGGAAGCAATTTGACCAATGCACTGTCACAAAGTCTGCACATTGCAGCTTTCACTGTGAGATCATTTTGGGTTTGACCATAGGTCTGAAACATGGAAATTCAGGAACAGATTGTTTAAGAGGATAGGGTTTTTAAAAACTGTGAACATTTTCCCCACATTTGTTAAAAACATAAAAGCTTTCCCCAGTGGGGAAAAAATTGAATATAATAAGAACTGCGGCTGCTAAAGGATTATGTGATTATACACATAAGATCTGTCTCTAAGGTAGATTCTTAGAACTTCATGGAAACAGAAACTTATGAAGGCTTCTGACAATATTTGAATGCATACATGCATTAGGCCTCTTTCCTGTGTAAATTCTTACATGAGGGTTACAGGAACTGGAGGTGGAGAAGGCTTTCCCACACTGCTAATATTGGTAAGGTTCCTCACTAATGTGAGATAGTTTATATTTGATAAAATAAGAACAAAGAAATAGTTTTCCAAATGTTTATGAACAGAGGGTTTCTTTCCAATGTGAATGTTTTTATTACTCTTGGGCAAAGTGGAAATAGTGAAGGTTATCCACAGTGCTAACCAGCAGCATTAGGCTACCAACTAGTGTGAAGCATTTCATGTCTAGTAAGATGACCAGAGCAGCTGAAGGCTTTTTGACAATTCTTACATGCATAAGGCCTGTTTTTTGAGTTAACTCTTTCATGCCTTTAAAAATCACTAGACTAAATGAGAACCCACATGTTTTAAACACAGGTTTCTCTCCAGTGTGATTTCTTTCATGCAAGTTAGACCAAGCAGAAGTGTTGAAGGTTTTTCCACAATGTTTCCATGAGTTGGCTTGTCTCTAGTGTAAATCATTTCATGAATGTTCAATAGTGGGTGAAGGCTCTTTCCACAATGTTCAAATCATGAGGCTTCTGTCCAGTGTGGAGTCTTTCAGAAGTCTTACACAAACTGAAATTGGTTTTTCAACAAGGCTTTTCTCACGTGTGGCGCCTTTCATGTCTGTAACGACTACTGGAGTCACTGAAGGATTTTCCACAATGCGTACATGCATAGGGCTTGTCTTTGGAGTGAACTCTTTCGTGCTTGTTAAGATCACTAGACTGAATGAACAGTTTCCCACATGTTTTACAGACAAAGTCTTTCTCTCCAGTGTGAATTTTTTCATGCAAGTTTCGACAAGTAGAAGTTTTGAAGGTTTTTCCACAATGTTTACATGCATAAGGCTTCTCTCCGGTGTGAACTCTTTCATGAGCGTGCAGTTGATTGGAGCGGGTAAATGCTTTTCCACAATGCTTACACACATAAGGCTTCTCTCCAGTGTGAACTCTTTCATGACCTTTACATGAACTAAAATTAGTGAAAGTTTTCCCACAATACTTACATGTATAAGGCTTCTCTCCTGTGTGAATCCTTTCATGCCTGTTACGACGACTGGAGTCACTGAAGGCTTTCCCACAAAACTTACATGCGTAAGGATTCTCTCCAGTGTGACTCCGTTCATGTCTACTACGGCGACTTAGGTCACTGAAGGCTTTTCCACAATGCTTACAGACATAAGGCTTTTCTCCACTGTGAATTCTTTCATGAATATTACAATAAGCAGAACTGGTGAAAGCTTTTCCACAATAGTTACATGCATAAGGCCTTTCTCCAGTGTGAATTCTTTCATGAATGTTTCGGTAAGAGGAACTGGTGAAGGCTTTTCCACAATGTCTACATGCATAGGGATTCTTTCCAATATGACTGCTTTCATTATTGTTATGATAACTGTATTGTGTGAAGGCTTTTCCAAAATGTTTATAAGCACAAGGCTTCCCTCTACTGTGAGTTACCTCATGGTTTTCAAAACATTTTGCATAAGTAAATGTTTTGCCACACTGACTACAAATGTACCTTTTCTCTCCAATATGACTTTTTTCATGGCTGATAAAGTTACTGGAATGAATGACTGATTCTTCACAAAGTTTACATACAAATGGTCTCCCTTCTTTATTGATTCCTTCATCATTCTGGCCATATGTGCATCTTGTTAAGTCATTCTCATTGAGTTTATCTCCAGTGTGAGCTCTCTCCTGAGGCTGATCAAAACAGAGACTCCTACAGGTTTCATTACATTGTTGACTTTTGCAGGGTTTCTCCTTAGGAGAAGTTTCCAGTTCCAGAAGTGATTCAGAATGACTGATGAGTTTCCAACGTTTCTGATGTATAAAATCTTTTGCCATAGCTTCCTTACATACAGATCGTATCCCTCTAAGTTGTTCTCTGAGATACCCATGTGAGGATGAATGACAAATGATGTTTTTTACATGCAATGGACTTTGATGAACTCTTACTCCTGGGTGCACGTCTTTATTGATGATAGTCTCTGTAATGGGTTTCTGGTTCTTATCACACTCACTATTACATCCACAGTCTTTCTCAATCACCAGAGTTCTGCAAAAAAATGAGAAAAACATTAGTGTAGCCAAGGGAAATATCTGAGACTGTGTGTGAACCACTGCAACTATACTATCTCAGGGGCAACAAAAGAATGCCATCAATGTTAAGGACAATATAGGCCACATGTAAAGATCCTGTCATGTGCAAAGAAGTAGAGGGTTGACTTTACTTATATAGTCTTCCAGCAGATCGGATTTAGATGATCAGCATTCATGTGGAGGGCTCACAAGTTTCTGTTACTCTTGATCTAAAGGATCTCTTTCTCTTTTCTGCCTTCTACAAATGTTTTTGTCATGCAAGACACCATACACATGAACACAAAGTAAATGAATGGCATAAAAAAAGTGAATATGGAGGCAAAAGTTTTATTGTTGGAAGACAATCATAACAATCACATAAAAAACTGAAACACTGTGGCATTCTAGATACTCAGCCGGTTTTGGTTGGTTATCAACTAGATTCATTTAGGGTCATCTGAGAATCGAAACCCTCAATGGAGAAAATGGCTCATTCAGCTTGGCCTGTAAACAAGTCTGTGGGAGGATTTTCACCTTCCTGATTGATAAAAGAGGCCTCTGACAATGCTGGGTAGTGTGCCCACGGCGGAAGTGCATGAGATGCGTAGGAAAGATGCCTGCAGCTTAGTTTTGCTCATCGTTACACAAACTAGGACACACATCCGAGAAGAGAGAAACAGAAAGGAGAAAATGCCTTTATCAAGTTGACATTTAGGTCTATCTGTGTGGGCATTTTCTTGATCACTGATTGAGGTAGAGTGCCCCAGTTCACTGTGGGTATTGTCCCCCTAGAGATGTGGGCCAGAAGCCAAGTAACGGATGAGGAGCACACCAATAAACAGAATTTCTCCATCACCCCTGCTTCAGTTCCTACATCAAGATTCTTGCCATGTTTGGGTTCCTGCCTTGACATTCTTCTATGATTAGGCTGTGACAAGGAAGTGTAAGTAAAAATGAGCTCTACCTCTGAGTTGTGTGGTTTTTTTTTTTGTCACAGCAAAAGAGAGAAAATAAATGACAGCTCTAATAAGAAATGACAGAATAATATACGTAAAAAAAGTAAATACTTTTGGATATGAAGGTAAGTTTTGTGTAATAAGCCACCAGAAAAGCTCCTTCAGAGCTTAATGTCCCTGACGTATTTATGATATTAATAGATTACATAGATGGGATACTCAGATATTGAATGGTAAATCAATGCTCTGTTGCAGGAATTTGTGTAGGATCATTTTTCATTTAAGTTTACTTGGAGCATTTGGCAGGATCTCAGTTGGTTTATGATTCCCAAATATTTGACATAAACTCTTGTCCACTGAATATAAATTACCTTGTATTTCTGCTGAGATCTTTGTAGTCCTCTTCAATATTTTCTTCTAGTGCTTTCTCTAGAAGAAAAATCAGAATACTTTACGACATTCATATTGAACATAAAAAATTATTACAATCTAGCTTTTATGACATGGGTATTCACTCTAAATTTACTACATATTCCCTTCAAGAATCCAAATCACAACACTACACACATAAGCAGAAAACAGTTGCACTCTAACTGAATAACCAATGGGAGCACTGTAAATTTTGGTCTCTGGCCTCCATCTTTGGAGGCCCCGCCCCTGTGCCCCTTCACACCTTGCTGAGGAGGGCCAAGGAGGGTCAAGATAGCACACCAAACCTTGGCCCCTCCCCAGAGGAGGTCAGGACCACTCCCCTAGACTATTTAAACTGCTCCCTGGAAAGTTAACATGTGGTCATGTCTTGCCCCCCGCCCCTCCGCCCAGTTTGTTTTGATTCAGCATGATTCGGATTTTTGCCTTGACAGAACTTGTGTTAGAAAATATTCCTAACAAGCACTTTTTTTTTTTTTTTACCTATGAAGATCAGGTTTAAAAATGTTTCTTCCATCACAGCACTGTAGAGCTTCTTTTGAGTAGAATCCAACAATGCCCACTCTTCTGCAGTGAAGTTCACAGCAACATCCTCAGAGGTCACTGGCTCCTAAGAGTGCATATATTGGGATGGTTAGCTTTACCTGACAGGCTGACAAGATACAGAATCATCTAGCATATATGTTTCTGAAGATACCTCTAAGTGATCCTTTAAATAGGATTAACTGAAGAATACCTGTGGGAGGCTATCTTGATTACTTACCTAATACAGGAAGATCCACTGCCTCAGGTACTACATGCCTGCCAGTCAGGCATCACAATCCCTGACTTCAAATGATACTACAGAGCTACGGTACTGCAAACAGCCTGGTATTGGCATAAAAACAGACAGGAGGACCAATGAAACTGAATCAAAGGCCTGGATATTAATTCACACACTTTAGAACACCTGATTTTTGACAAAGAAGCAAAAAAATATCAAATGGAAAAAAGAAAGCATTTTTAACAAATGGTGCTGGCATAACTGGATTTCAACATGTAGAAGAGTGAAAATAGACCCATTATCTATCACCATGCACAAAACTCAAGTCCAAATGGATCAGACCTCAACATAAAGCCAGCCACACTGAACCTCATAGAAGAGAAAGTGGGCAGTACGCTTGAACACATTGGCACAGGAGACCCCTTCCTAAATATAACCCCAGCAGCACAGACACTGAGAGAAAAAATTAATAAATGGGACCTCCTGAAACTGAAAAGCTTCTGTAAAGCAAAGGACATGGTCAACAAGACAAAACGACAGGCTACAGAATGAGAAAAGATCTTCACCAACCCCACATCAGACAGAAATCTGATCTCCAAAATATACAAAGAACTCAAGAAATTGGTCATCAAAAGAACAAATAATCCAATAAAAAAAATGGAGTACAGAGCTAAAGAGAGAACTCTCAAAAGAGGAATCTAAAATGGCTGAAAGATACTTAAGGAAATGCTCAACATCCTTATTCATCAGAGAAATGCAAATCAAAACAACTCTGAGAACCCATCTTATGCCTCTAAGAATGGCCAAGATCAAAAACACTGATGACAACTTATGCTGGAAAGGTTGTGGGAAAAAGAGAACACTTCTGCATTGTTGGTGGGAATGCAATCTGGTACAGCCCCTTTGGACGTCAGTGTGGTGATTTCTCAGAAAATTAGGAAACAACCTTCCTCAAGACCCAGTAATACCACTTTTGGGTATATATCCAAAGGATGCTCAATCATGCCACAAGGACATGTGCTCAACTATGTTCATAGCAGCATTGTTTGTCATAGCCAGAACCTGGAAACAACCTAAATGTCCCTTGACTGAAAAATGGATAAGGAAAATGTGGTACATTTACACAATGGAGTACTTACTACACAGTGGAAAAAATAACATCTTGAAATCTGCAGGAAAATGGATGGAGCTAGAAAACATTAACATTGAGTGAGGTATCCAGACACAGAAAGACAATTATCACATGTACTCACTCATAGGCGGTTTTTATACATAAAGCAAAGAAAACCAGCCTACAAATCAGAATCACAGAGAACCTAGACAATGAAGACACTAAGAGAGACATACATAGATCTAATCTACATGGGAAGTAGAAAAAGACAAGATCTCCTGAGTAAATTGGGAGCATGAGGACCTTGGGAGAGGGTTGAAGGGGGAGGGGAGACGCAGGGAGGGGAGCAGAGAAAAATGTAAAGCTCAATAAAAATCAACAACAGCAAAAAAGAAAATACACAGACTAACAAAATGGTTGCGAAAACAGGATCCATCCTTCTGTTGCATCCAAGAAACATACCTCAATACCAAGCACAGGTATCACCTCAGGGAAAAGGATTGGAAAAAAGATATTCTAAGTGAATGACCTAAGAAGCAAGTTGTTGTAGCCATTTTAGCATATAACAAAATGGACTTCAAACCTAAACTAATTAAAAGACACAGGGAAGGATCAGTGGAAAAACATACCATGATGGCATTTCCATTCTTAACATCTCTGTGCCCTCTGAATGAACTAAACAAGGCCTATGTGAATTCACAGACTGAAGCAGCAATCCTAGGGGCCTACATGGATCTGAACCAGGTCCTCTGGGTATATATTATAGCTTTCGGTTCAGTACTCTTATGGGACACCCGAACATGTGAACTTGTGGGTCTCTTTTCCTCCATGAGGTTGCCTTGTCCAACCTTGTTCTGACGTTTTCTGTTTTACCTCATTATATTTTACTTTGTCATGTTTGGCCACTATCTCTTAGAAACCTGTTATTGTCTAATGAGAGACAGAAAGGGAGTAGACCCAGAGGGGAGGGCAAATAGAAAGAAACTGGGAGAAGAAGAGGGAAGGGAAACAATAATCAGGATATGTTGTCTAAGAATAGAAACTGTTTTCAATAAAATGAAAATATATAACAAAGAATCACTACAAACAACATATGAAGCAAATTTATCTTTCCTCAGACTGGTAACTTTGGAAAACCTCAGTCAGGAAAACAAGAAAAAAAAAAAAAAGCCTTGCACGTTATCATTTTGTGAAACTAAAGCAAAACAAGGAGGCTAGAGAAGTGGCTCAGTGGTAAAGAGCACTTGTTGCTCTTGCAGAGGACCTGGGTTCAGTTCCTAGTACCCACAAAGTGGTTCACAACCAGCTGTCACTCCAGTTCCGTGAGAACCAAAGGCACCACCAAGCATGCGAGTGGTACACAAACATATATGCAGGGAAGCGCACACACACAAAACAAACCGCATAAATCTAAAATAAAATTAAAAATACTAAAGAAAAACAAAACAAGAAAACCGAAGGCAAAAATCCAAAAACCATATTGAATGGGGTGTTAAGGAGAGACAGTTCTGTGGGAAACTTCTCAACCACCAGGAGGCATGGGAAACAATTCTGAGGCAGACCAGATGACGGAGGGGAGGGGATGGGAGGAGACAGAAATGATATCCGAGGTGATAATGCATAAAACCTAAATCAAAGCAAACAGAAGCACAAGCGAAGGGAAACTGCACAGACCACCCAGGTCCCTACAGTTCGGGCTCTGCATTTCCAACCCGCCAGCGCCGCAAGGTCTGAGTAGGCGAAAGTCCATGGCAAGGACTAACCCAAGATTGCTGGAAGCAGCTTCACCAGAACAGAAAACTGGGGCACTCGGGGCACAAGGTTTCCGTGGGGTGCACACTGCACGCACAGGTGGGCACAGGCATTGTTGAGCCAGACTCCGCCTTCCACTGGACTGCACAGCGCCCGGGAAGACTCCAGGTGCTGGCGACGCAAAACCCAATTGTCCCCAAGATTCCAGCGCCCCAGGCACACTCACCATTTCTGACGTGTCTGGGTGTCTTCTCAAAGAGAACTGGAGTCAGCTGAACACAAAGTGGTCCAGACCAGACCATCACAAGGATCCCCCCCCCCCCGTAGTAAACGAAGCGTAAGAAATGACTTCCGGGACGCGCGCTGCAACCATCTGCGCCCCTGATTGGACAGTTCGGCGTCTTTTAGTAATATGGTCCCTGATTGGCGAATTGTACTCAGTCCGAGAAAATTATCAAAACAATTTAGGAAAGCTCAGCTGCAAGACCTGACTGACTGCTCGCTCTCTCAGAAGAACGCGAACTTCTGTGAATTCAAAGCCATTCAGGGCTACATGGTAAGATCCTGACCCAAAACAAAACAAAAAAGCCCGGCATGGTGCAGGCATATCTATTCGGGATCTCTAAGTGGAGGCTAGCCTGGTCCAGAGAACTAGTTCCCGGACAGACAATACATAGTGGTGGTGCACACCTTTAATCCCAGCCCTTGGGAGGCAGAGGCATAAACCCTGTCTCGAATAACCAAAATAAATAAATAAATAAATAAATAAATAAATAAATAAATAAATAAATAAATAAATAAATAAATAAATAAATAAAACCCCAAAAACATAGTACCAGAGAAAAGCTGTCTCGGAAAACCAAATCAAGTAAGGAAGCAAAAAATAAACAACAAAACAAATTTTAAAACAAAAGCTCTAACATATTATCCGTCCCGTGTGGAATGAACCTGTTCCATTTCGGGATTTCACTGCATTGTAAGACGACACAATCTGGGATTTGGAATGCACTCACTGCCTCGAACACCCAGTATTCGCCACCTGCCCTTTCCATAAAGATGGAGCCTTAAGTTTGCTCATTCCATTCCAATCTTCCCCCCCCCAAAGGAAAACAGCAGGTTTTCTGGGTAGAAACAGCCCCCTAGTAGGTTCAAGCACAGGGAACACGTGTGGCGCTTGATAGGAAACCCCGTAAAAATTACGGTTGAGGTAAAGGAAAGTTCATGACTTTCTCACACTTCATGTCTAAGTGTATCCCTCTTTTGTCAATATAATTAAAACATACCAACAAGGAACTACTATTATTCAATCGTTGTATAGAATAGACACACATACTAGGGGGTCCTTAACTAAGAATTCAGAGATATGAAAAGAAACCCCTGAATTTCAAAAAAGGTGGATTTTGTTGTTGTCTTTTTGTTTTGCTTTTTGATCATGACCATGAAGAAAGCCTCCATTTGCTAGAGTATATACCCCCAAACCCCTGGATCTCAGATTACCAAGAAAGAGCCCCACACGGGCAGTCTCTAATGATGATGCAGACACACCAAACAATTTATCTTTGGGAACTTACCTTGCCAGCTATTGCTTCCAGAACCATGGAATAATTCTCTCAAAACTAAAACTAAGATAATCGCCAGAATTATAATGCCACTCATACCCACATTAGATTTACCTATTTTATTTTGTCTTTGTGGGGGAAGGGGGAGACTCTTTCTGCAACTAAAGGGAAGCTCTCATCCCTGCTGGGTAAGGCTTTCCAGGACTACTGTGCTAGTTTTGAAATATATATATATATATAAAAATTTTTCTGGAATGACTTACATGCTGCACTCTAGTTGTGGATGGAAAGTACAAAAATCTAGTAGTTACTCACACCTATGAGGCTGGGTGTCTCAGCTGGCCTTCTATATATGCTGGAATCCCAAAGAAGTAGACTTCAATGCCGGTGAAGAGATGGATGTGCTAACAAGCGGAGGGCAAGCTGGCAAAGAACAGACACATCCCATTTCTTCTTCCCTTGTCTTTATATATGCTTCTGCTGGTGGCCAGCACCAACAGTGAACAGATCCCAGAGAGGATGGAAGAAGGATCAGGCAAGGGGAGCGTTGGGTCCGACACCCAGACTTTGTAACCCAGACTGACAAGCAATCAGAAATTTTCTTATTTATACCGATTTTAAAGTCATTCATGATTTCTCAAGAGACACACATCACAGCATTTTGTTTCGGGCGTACATTACTAGCATGCCCAGGGTTACAGGTTAGGCACAGACAGAGTAGATTATCAACAATACATATCCCTATTCCTAGAATTTTACAGAACATTTCAGCTTAGGCAAGCATAATAAAGCAGCCAGTTCTCAGGCTGGCAACAATTTGAGGTTTCAAGATGTTTGAGATACTATCTGAATCAGTGCAGGTAACTCCTCAGGCTTTGAGCAGAGTGTTGTTAGCTGTTGGTGGTCAATCCTATTACTTGCAAATTAGCCTAAGCCTGACTTAGGAACCATTGTAGCTGATATTCAACCTTTGTAATATTTGCATTCATAACCTTATAAGAATTTGTTAAAAAAAATAATTGTTTCATTTCTAAATTAGGTAGCATCGCAGCAACCTGATGTAATCCAAGCTTTTTAGGAGTGACAAATCTTAATAACTTAATCTTCTTATAATCTTCTATGTCATTCTTATACCACCTATAAATGCTTTTGTTATCCTTGTCATTCTAGCTCTTCTTGCTGAATTCTTTTTTAGAAGACACACACACACACACACACACACATGCCTCTACCTTATAGGTTATGTTTCTAAGAATTTCTAGGTATACTGTAAAAAGAGTTCTATGTGCTCTGGTCTGCAGCCAATCCTACTATCCTGCTGAACCTTGGCCAGCCTCTTCTGAATTCATATAGTTCTATTTTGTTCTTTAGTTTGCATAAGGGCAGATAACAATCTCCAAGGCACAGGGAAGACCCCCCCCTCAAGTAGGGCCAACTAAGGTCACTACCCTGAAAGCAGGGGGTAGTATGTTCAGGACTTTTTCAGGGGGATACAGAAACAATTTTCTCAGAAAAGATATAGGTGAACACTCATGCTAATAGCTCCCCAAGAGTGTAACACACAGAGATTCAAATTGAAAGTTAAGGGCATCAGTTAGCATTTGGCTCAACTTTCCTGGAACTTCGTCAAGCAGCTACGCTGCCTTCGTGACTTTCACAATTCCCATAGGAGATGGCCGTGCCAGGTTTCCAGCAGAAGGTGTGGCCCAGAATAAAGGTGTTTCTTCCAGCCTCAAGATCTGAATTAAAGGTGTGTATCAACCATCAGCCTCAAGAGACAAACCAAAGGTATGTTGTCTTCTTGCCTCAAGATCCAGATCAAAAGTGTACCCTCCATTTCTGGATTATAGCTCATTTCTGATATGGTCCAGCTGATAACAAAGATTAGCCATCACATTTTTCTAGATTAATAGAATGTGCACAGGTGGTGGCTCAAGGACCCTGTCTTTTTTGTAGCATAAACTGTCATAATGGAGTAGTAACCATTCTGTCAATTATTCTTCTCCATCGACTCCCCAAACCCTTAGGAAAACAGGCTTTCTCAGATCACAGCGTTTCTGTCATTTCCACTGGATACGTGGCCTTAGGAAAACAGGCTTTCTCAGATCACAGCGTTTCTGTCATTTCCACTGGATACGTGGCCTGACAGGACTCTGTATTTGTGAAGAGGAGTCATGACTCCTACCAATAGATAGAACTCTTAGCAAATTCCCGTTAAACAATAAGTAAAGCCCAGTCCTTCACTGGGTTTACATTTTTATATTACTTTATTGATAATTCTCTATTCAGATCTGTACCCCATTTTTAAATAATTGTTTTTTTTTAATAATAAGGCCACCTGAGATGTGGTCTTATTATGTAGCACAGACTGAAATTTGAAATTTATTCTCCAGCAATGCTGAGGCTTGCATGAACAGCCCATATACTGCGGTTCTGTTGAACTTTTCCATAATGGGTTTCATGGTCTAAGTTGATGAGGATGACTGACCAGATCTCTTCCTCAAGAGGGCACCAGATCTCATTACAGATTGTTGTGAGCCACCATGTGGTTGCTAGGAATTGAACTCAGGACCTTTGGAAGAGCAGGCAGTGCTCTTAACCTCTGAGTCATCTCTCCAGCCCTAAAAACTTGTTTTTATTGAGCTATATATATTGTATATTTTGGATATTAGCCCTCGACCAGATGTAGAGTTGGTGAAAATCTTTTCCATTCTTTAGGCTACTGTATTGTGCTATTGACAGTGTCCTTTGCTTACAGACCCTTTTCTATACATGAAGTCCCACTTAGTAACTGTTGACCTTAGTGCCTACTACAAGTGTTCTACTTAGGAAATTGCCTCCTGTGTCAATGTGTTCAAAGCAATTCCTTACTTTCTCTTCTATCATGTTCAGTGTATCTGGTTTTGTGTTGAGGTCTTTGATCCACTTGCACTTGAGTTTTGTGCAGGGTGATAGATATGAACCTATTTGCATTCTTCTACATGCTGACATTGGGTTAGGTCAGCACCATTTGTTGAGGGTGTTGTTCTTTTCTCCAGTGTGTATTTCTGGCTTCTGTATCAAAAAGTCCATATATGTGTCTATATATGTGTGGATTTACATCTGGATCCACTGGTTAAAGTGCCAGTTTTTATGCACATAACATGCAGGTTTTGTTATCATTACAGATGGAAATCAGGAATAGTGATAACTCTGGTAGTTCTTTTATTACTCAGGGTTGCTTCAGTTATCTTGAATTCCCCCCTCCCCCATGAAATCGACTGTAGTTCTTTCAAGGTCTATAAAAAATTGTGTTTTAGTTCTCATGAGAGCTGGGCCTCTTTCCAAGCCAGCACTACAGATCTCTGTTATTTTTAGGTAACTTTTCACAATAATTTCTTCAACTTTGCACAATAATTTCTTTTTTTTGGAGACAGGGTTTATCTGTGGCTTTGGAGCCTGTCCTGGCACTAGCTCTGTAGACCAGGCTGGTATCAAACTCACAGAGATCCGCCTGCCTCTGCCTCCTGAGTGCTGGGATTAAAGGC